CCCCTCCCCCCCCGCCCTTCTGGCTAAATGTACTCACCCTCCGTTCAGTGCGATCCAGACTGCTGGGATCCACTTGTCCGATCTCTCGGCCGTGGCAGTCACGCGCGGTCCCGGGCTGTCTCCCTGCCTGGCGGCCGGAATTGCCTCGGCTCGGGTCATCGCCGCCACCACGAACCTGCCGCTGCTCGGGGTTCACCACATGGAGGCGCATGCGCTGACAGCGCGCCTGACCCCCCTGGGCCGCGTTCACACCCCGGAGGATATCAGCACCATGCCCGCCCCGGCCAACATCGACTTCCCCTTCCTCTGCGTGCTCATTTCCGGCGGGCACACCCTGATTGTGGTGGTCCGGTCGTTGGACCACTTCGAGGTGGTGCGCGTCGGTTTCCGGTCATGTCTCATGCTGCCCGGCTCTCGCTTGATTGTCATGGTCTCCCCCCCCCCCTCTCTCTCTCTCCCCTTTCTCTCCCTCTCACATCACCGTGTCCCTGTCCCCCAGCTCGGCACCACCCGCGACAACAGCATCGGCGTCGCCTTCGACAAGGTCTCCCGGTCGTTGGGCCTGGCCTGGCAGGCAGGCGCCCTCTCGGGCGCCACGCCGAGTGGTATTGCTCCAGGCGCCGCGCTCGAACTTGCTGCCGAGCATGGCGATCCCACCGCTTTCAACTACTCGGTGCCCTTGGCCAAGCATCCAGGCATCGGATTTAGCTATGCCGGTCTCATGAGCTCGGTCATCCAGCTGTGCGTCGCGCCGTCTCTCTTTCCGCCAACTCTTCCTCGCCCCCCCCCCTCCTTCCCTCTCTCTCTCTCTCTCTCTCACTCCCCCACCTCTCCGGCATCTGACGCTCGTGCCGGCCATTCAGCATCGAGGCTGAGGCCTCTCCATCGGAGGAGTTTGTCAACAACATCGCTGCCTCCTTCCAGCAGACAGCTTGGTTACACATGCAGCAGCAACTGAACCGCACCGCACGCCATCTGGTTTGTCAAGCTCCACCACTTTTCCTTGCCCTTGTCTCTGTTCTCCCTCCCGGGCAGCGGCTGACCTCCCCCCCCTTCCCCTTTCCCCGATCCCCCCCTGCCGGCTATCCGAATACCCCCCCCCCCCGCGCGCAGGCCGCCGAGATGGGCACATTCAAGCACCTGGTGGTCAGCGGCGGCGTGGCTCAGAACCGCTTCCTCCGCAACGGGTGCGCCGCAATCCCCCCCTCTTTGGCACCTTCATCCTCCCCCTCCCCCGGTCCCTCTGCCGTCGTTCTTCCTTCATGGCGCTAATCCCCCCACCCCCCCTGTCCCCGCCCCTGCCTTTCCCATCCACATCAGCTTTGTCAACTTCGCCGAAAAGCATGGCCTCACGCCATCCTTCCCCCCGGCGGCCCTGTGCTCGGACAACGCGGCCATGATTGCATGGGCAGCTCTCGAGCGACTTGAGGCGATGGAGCCCCAGGCCTTGGGCTGTACATCGCTGCCCGACTTCGGCTTCATCTCCTCCTGGCCATTGGACACCAGGACGCGTGAGCGCCAGCAGGCTGAGGCCATGGCCGATCCGAGCGCCAACCAGACACTCGGCTACCACTCAGACGATGTGCGCCTGCTGGCCCTCGTGGAGGGGGAGCTGGCTTCGCAAAGGGAGCACCTCCGCCAGGAGGCCCTCCCCGAGGCCGTCGAGCAGAGGGCCGCCACGGCGCAGGCCAGGGCGGAGCGCCGTGCTGCGGCCCGGCGCCAATCACGCGAGCGCCGTGATGCTGCTGCCGCCATCCCCACCGCCGCTGCCACCATCGACAACGCCAGCCTGCCCTGCTCAACTCCCTCCTCTTAGATTTCTGGGACGCCATCCTACATGGAGTTCTCCTCTTGGAGATCGGCGGACAGCCCCCCCCCCCCCTCCCCTCCCGCCTGCCCTGTGCCCTGGCCGCTCACCCATGTTCCTGTCCATTGTATGTGTGCGTGTGTGTGTGTGTGTGTGTGTGTGGATGTATGTGGATGTATGTGTGTATCTCGGATTCGAAGGCGGCGCTCGCGCCCGGAAGTGGCAGCATCGCCGGCTCGAGCAGTGGCGAAAGGAGACTCGCAAGCATGGCAACTAGCGGCGCTGTTCATCCATCGATGATGCCGCCCCATGTGAGAGCTCCCCCCCCCCCCCCCCCCCCCCCCCCCCCCCCCCTCCCCCCCCCCCCCCCCCCCCCCCCCCCCCCCCCCCCCCCCCCCCCCCCCCCCCCCCCGCCCCCCCCCCCCCCCCCCCCCCCCCGCAGGAGCAGGCCATTGTGCGGATCCTTGAGAGCGGCTCAGCTACTTCCCAAAAAAATGCATAGGCAAATAAAACAAACCCCTCCACCACCGGGCGGGGGCACACAGGCCGAGCCCTTCGCCCCGTGCCTGTTCCTGACTGTGTCTTGCTTCTGCCTCGCTCTCCGCTGCCACCAGGCTCTGCCGGAGGCGGTGCCTCCGATGCATCGGCGGGATGGAAGGGGGGGGGGGGGGGGCGGAGGGGCGACGGGGCCCGCCCTGCTGGCGATGCTGGCTATCCCTGGGGCGCCGGTGTCCCTTGCCCAAAGTGTGCGGCTGTGGCCCCGGCGACGCGCGGGGGCGGCGCGATTGCCTCGTTTGCCAATGCGCCGGTAACCAATGACATGGCTCAAAGCATCCGTCCGCTCCCCCTGAGAGCGACCATCCTTGACAAATGGACAGCAGGACGACCGCCGGGGGGGGGGGGCTTCGTTGTGTGCCGGCGCGCTGAGGCAAGGCACAGGTGGCGACGGAGAATGCCAAATGCCAACGATTCGGCCGGGTATCCAGGTGCCGAGCGAGGTTGCTGACTGCTCCGGTCCCCTCGTACGCCCCCGGGCCGGCGCGGTCGCCGGTGTGGGCGCCGGGGCCGGGGCCTTTCCACACCGGCTCTGACATCTGTCCTCCCTGGGTGGCGTGTCTCATTGGCCCGTTCCCCCCCGATGCTTCGTGTGTGTGCACTTTGTCTGTGTACGTGTGCGGGCGTGTGCGGGCGTGTGCGGGCGTGTGTTCTCCCTTTCTTGCTCCCTCTCTGGCGATCGCGGCTGGGCTTCGGTCTCCCTCCCCCGAATGCGGCAGAGCGCTCCCTCGCACAACTGGGGCCACGCAAACGACCTGGATTGCACGCCCACAATCCCCGCCATCCGGGGCGGCGTGTTTTAGACGGTGGTGGCAGCGTCTGCTCCCGGCCTTCAAGCCAGGCAGCGGCCTCACTGCCTTCTCCCCCATCCCCCCTCTGCCGCACATCCCAGGCCGAACTCCTCGACCGAGGGAAAGGCCCTCTCGCTTGGTGGTGGCTCTCGCCTTCCTGTGCCCGACATGAACAAAGCCGAGCCCCCTACCCTCTACCAGGAGGGCAGGCCTCAGAGGCAGACCGGTAGAAGGTGGCAGGGCAAAAGAGAGCGGCCGACAAAGCGCAAAGGCGCAAGAAGGCATGCCCTCGCCCTCCGCTGTCTCATGCATGCTGGCAGCCTTGTCGCTCGATTGTCCCCCCCCCCCCCCCCAGGCTCCCAGGGCCGTACACGCGGGGATGCGCTCATTTCCGCACTGCCTGCCGACTCGGGGGCGGGGTAGTGGCATGTGTCGTGCGGAGCACGCGTGTCAGTTTGTTCGGCCACCTGGCGCCGCCTCATCGTGTGTCGGCGGCGCCTTTTCACATTTCGCAGGGAGGGGGTGCGCCCATTTTCCAGGGTTGCGATTGGTTGTCCTTTTTTTTCTTTGCCCCCTTCGCCCGTATATCGCAGCCTGGCGTGTGTTGTTCGTGCTGAAGAGCGGCCACACACACGCCAGATCCGAAAGAATGCCCGTGTCACCTGGATTGGCCTTTGCCCATACGGCCGCTGGCGCGTGGGACACCCCGGAGCGGGGGTCATTGCGGCCAATCGCGGGCCCCGCCCGAGTGCCATGCACGCGCTCGCAGCCATTGTGCGGCCCGGTCGAGGTGCATTTGGTGGACTGCCCGGCGTCGCGGTCGTCACCGTCATCGTTGTGGTTGTGGCCGTGGTCGTGTTCGAGTGCGAGCACGCGTGTCCACTCGCTTCCCAAGGGTGCCAGGCTGACAATATTGTGCCTCATGCCCCGGCCAGGTGGGAGATGCACGGGTCGGGGGACATGTGAGACCATGCACCCGGGCACCGGGTCGGCCCATGCAGTCGGTTGATCCGCGCGTCGTGCTCGGCCCCGGCCCCGGCCCCGAAGAGGTGTCAGCCCCCGGCCCAGGCGACCCGCCTCTTCCTGGCGCTTCCCCCCCTCCCCCCCCCTCCCCCCGTGCCAGCACCCTCCCCCTTCCAGTTGTATCGCCGTGTTCCTTCGTTCCTGTCATGGGAATGCTTGCGTCGCTACTGGGGTCTTCGCACTCACGCCCGTTCGGGGAGGACGCCTTTCGCCGGGCGGCTGCACCCCGACCGGGCCCACGGGTGTGGCCGCCAGATTGCCGGGAGCCAGTGGAGGGCCCGCCAGCCACGTCGCCCCCTCTCGCTCTCCCCCCCGCGCGAAGAGGCGTGGCGTACGCCAGCCAAATCCAGTCATAGAATCGTCCAATGTCAGGCCTGCCCCCCCTCCCCCTCCTTGACAGCAATCACTCTTGCTCTTCCGGGCGCGATGGGTGGTTCCAAGCACGAGCTTTCGGGCGCGGGGGTCGCCAATCGGGCGTCGCATGCTGGGGGCCGGGTGCCCCCGAATGCCGGGAGGCTGTTAAGCCCTGGACCCCGGCTGGGCACCAGCCTGTGCTTGTTGGACCACTTCGGGGCCCGTTCCTCACCGGGAGCCGCGCCTTGTTGGCCGGCCCCTCGGCCCCAGCCCCGGTCTTTCGACTGCCCACGCCCGGTGTGTAATGGCCGCAGGCGCCTGTGCTCAGTGCCCAGGTGCTGACATCGGCTCCCCGACTGCCGTGCCGATCCATGGTCTGCCCCCCCCCCCACCCCGGGAGGGGCGGGGCTCTACTCGGCCCGGCGTCGACACCGCACTTCCCGACGACCCCCCCCCCCCTTACACCGGGCCCGAGGTTGGTAGCCCGGCCCCGGCGCCCCGGGAGGATATTGTCCGGTGGTAAGCGCGTGCCGGCCCGGGCTGCCAGGGTCGCCGGCACCCTTGGCCCGAGCGCCGAGGGTGCACCAAGCCCGTGGACGAGGGGTGCCTGTTTCCGGGGAAAGATCCCCACCCAAGGCTGCCCTACAGAAACCGGTGCTTTGCTCGGTCCTTGCCCTGGTGGCATGGGGCGTGCCGGCTAGGGCAACAGGGGCGCGGCCCGGCGCGGCAGGGGGCTCTTGCTACCAGAGGATGCCCCGCTCTCGAGCAGCCCCTGGGCCTTGCCACCATCCTTGTCCTGAGTCGGGAGCGCCCTTCTCCGAAGCGCCTCGGCCGAGCCTCACACTCGTGCCTTTCGGGCGCGGGCTGATCAGGGCTACTTCCAAGTGCGTGCGCGGACGCATTTTCGTGCGTGCGTGCGTGTGTGTGTGTGTGTGTGTGCATGCACGCATGCACTCGCGCAAATGTGCATATTTTTTCTCGTGTCAGGGGCATCAGCTCCCAGCCATGAAGGAGTCCCGGCACTGCCCCATGCCCCATGTATGTCCCGCCCCGTCTTGCCTCCTCCCCTTCCAGGACAGAGGGTGGAGGTTGTACCTTGGAGCTGGTGCGCCGCGCATGTCGCGCGTCGCGTGGAGCCCGCGACGAAGGCGCGCGGGTCTGATACTGGCACTATTGCGGCCGAGGCAGATGGGCTGAGGGCGTTGGTATGCGTGAGGCACATGGGGATGTGTATGTGTGTGTGTGTATGAGAGAGAGAGGCCCGGCGGGGCGGGCGGGGACGAGGGACCCGGAAAATAAAAACAAAAGGGTCGACCGCACCAAATGGCAGGAGGGCCGGGAACGAAGCGGTCGACACCAGTCCCCCCCCCCCCCCCCCCCCCCCCCCCCCCCCCCCCCCCC